CTTATCTGTTCCTTTTTCATGTAACATCATCTGTCTGTTCTTGGGATTATTTCATAAACTGTTGGGATTCTTTTCAAGACCCCCTTGCTCATGGCACTTGAGGTATTTTACCTGTTTTCTTCCAGAAGTTTTAAAATTTCAGGCTCACATTAAGGTCTCATTTCATTCTACACATAAGAATTTAGTTTTCCTAGAACATTTGCTAGGTAGGCTGTCTTTCTGCAATGTTTGGTTTTGATGGACACTGTCATCAATATTTAGTTGTCTGTAGCTATGTGTTTCATTTCTGGATCATTTGTTCTGCTCATGAATCTAAGATCTGCTCGGCTATTCCTGGTATGATGGCTATGGGTTTCAATGCAATTAGGCATGGTTATACCTCAGGCACTGCTCATCCTGCTAAGGGTCACTTTGACTATTTGAGTCTGTATCAGTATTAGAGTTGTTTTTCTCAGTTTTGTGAAGGATGCCATTGAGGTTTGAGTTAGGATTGTGCTGAACATGTATTTGGTAATATAGCCACTTTCACAATGCTAATTGTTGTGAAATAATTGTGAACAATAGATTGCTTAATCCTTGATGGCCAGCCTATAGCCAATGTTACATTAAATAGGGGGAAATTGGAATTCCAGTAAAATCTAGAGAAAGACAAGACTGCTGTCTTTCTCTTCTTTTATTCAAAATATAGTATTTGAAGTCATAGAGAGAACAGTAAGAGAAGAGAAAGAAAAGTGATACAGATTGGAAAGGAAGAAGTCAATTTCCTCCCCGCCCCCGCCTCCTACACATACACACACACTGTGGGTGCCTCTAGGGACATCATTCCTGTTTGCAGACAATGTGGTCCTCTCAAAAAATCCTCAGAAACCTCTCAGAACCTATACACACTCTCAACAAAGTAATGGAATAGAAAGTTGAAAAAAAAGGAGGGTTTTCTATACAACCATAGCAGTAATGTCAAGAGGAAATCAGAAGGAAGAGAACTACCCATGATAGCCTCTAAACACAAAACATGTACGCATTCTCATGAAAATGGGTAGACCTGGAAAATACTACATTAAGTGAGGTAGCCCAGGTTTGGAGAAACAAATACTGCACATTTGCTCTCATATGTAGAACCTCATTTGTAAATATCTTATTATCTAATTATGTGTGTGGACTCATGCTGGAGTGACTGGGCAGCTGTCTGGAAACCGGTTTTTGTTTTTGGGGTTTTGGGGTTTTTTTGTTTTTGTTTGTTTTTGGTTTTTTTGAGACAGGGTTTCTCTGTGTAGCCCTGGCTGTCCTGGAACTCACTCTGTAGACCAGGCTGGCCTCGAACTCAGACATCTGCCTGCCTCTGCCTCCCAAGTGCTAGGATTTGCCCAGCAGGAAACCGGTTGTTAATGTGCCATCAGGAAAGTGACCCACACATGTCCTTTTTATATGAACATGACGCCAAGTTCAGGGAGCTGGGAAAGACTGGTAATCATCTTACATAGTTATTGTGGGGCAGCAACTGATTCTACCCAAAGCACCAAACTTTAAGTGGTAGTACACAAAACCATAAAAATCCAGATTTCAGCTGGGCATGGTGGCCCACACCTTTAAGCTCATCACTTGTGAGGCAGAGACGGGTGGATTCTCTGTGAGTTCAAGTCTAGCCTATTCTACAAATAGAGTCAGGGTCAGCCAGACCTACATAAAGAAACCCTGTCTTGAAAAACCAAAGCAATCCAAACCAAACAAGCCAGATTTCTGGTTTCCTATGAGTAAACCAGAAGATCTATATTTTTAAAAAAAGGAAGGTGTCCCCAGCTCCCTGCGGGCTCTGCATCAATTGTTCCTAAAGTAAGCCAGCTCTTTAATCCCTGGACATGACTACATTTTTATTTTTCTTTCTTAGATTATAATCTCATTCTGGAGTGGTTCTCAAATGTCTGTGTACCCAGACACCCCTGGGGACCATGAGGAGTTGGGAACTAGGGTCTGTGAGCTGGTGATGGGCCTGGGATGGGCAGAATCTGGCTCTGAGTGCTAGGAGTGTGAAGGGGCCTTCTATGGGAGAGTTAGGTGAGGCTCTGTATGACCCACACCACCACCACCCATGGCAGTCCTTGATAAAGAAGACAGTCTTTGCTTAAGATGCATATGTCTTACTCAGGGTGAACCAGAGATTAAACCCTTTTTGTAGGAAGGGATGGCCAGGAAGGGAAGCTCATTGGGTAAACACTCGGGGGTCTATCTAGGTACCTCATTAGCATGGAGAACTCTAGGTGCTGTGCTACCTACGTGACCAGTTGTCATGATCCTCTTAGTGAGGTGTCATGGTCACATGCTCCAGGACAGGAACCTGGTAGGGAGCTAGTTCAAACTCATGCTGCTCTCAATTATGAGATTTACTGGGGTTCTGAACTTGCTACTACCTCACCAGTTCTTCTGTCTGGTGGCACGGTCCACTGCCCCACAGGGCTGTGTGTGGTGGGCAAAACTGGGGCTTCATGGAGGACATGGGAGACACTGGATGAAGATGCAGAGGAAAACAAGGGGAACCCCACTTCTCATGATTTCTGAGTAAACTCTGTCCTTCCTGTAATGAGTTTGCTTAGAACTTAGCAGTGTTGTGCCGTGTGTCTGTGGAACCAGTGCAAACCCAGAAACCCCAACACAGGGCATTCCCCAGGGCTGAACACTTCTGCTCAGCGGTGTTTAAGGAACTACTTAGACAAAGAGTACACCCACACTTTCAACAAGCCAAGCAGAGGAAACCAGACTCTATTTTGAATGCCCTGTTGCCAGGCCAATGAGAAAACACAGAATGTCCCCAGCTCTGATCTCAGTTGGGGCAGTACTTACTGCTTTACTATGTAGGTCAAAGCCTGCCCTGCAAAGGGCCTGGCTTCTCCGCAGGCCATGGCTGGGCTTGCTATATAGTAGGCAAAGCTGTGATGATGGGATAGTCCTAAGGTTGTCTTTAAACCTATCTTCACCAGGTCCTCCCATTTCTCACTGCCAACAGTGATCCTCTTGCTTCCATCATCAAATGTCCATTTAGGGATAATGACCATCTTGAGGGTAACAGGCAAGGAGTCAGGGGGATGAAGAGTAGAGCTTGCATTGGTACTGGGGGTGTGCTGGGCTTCATCTTACTGCCCAGCAAAGAGGAAGGACCCACAGTGAGAGTCCTCGGCCAGGAAATAGTAACTCTTGCTTCTATAATGGAAACAACCTTGGTCTCAAATTATAAAGTGGGAAAATGTAGAAATAAATAGCTGGTAAGTTTTAAACTGAATGCCATTCTGAGGAGATGATGAAATCTAACCATCTGACTTCATCCTGCCTAGGGACAAAGTATCCTTGTCCCTCATATGCTCACTCTGTATTACACACCTGTTAGAGTCACTTAGAAGCCATCTCTGTCATCAGACCGGTTGTCAGTGCTTGAGTTTAAGGAACTTAACACTCTTGTTTTACTTGTTAATGTAGTTATTAAATGCCCCAAAGACAGTTATGCTGTCTAGCCAGACACACCGGAGAGAAGTGAACTGATCAAATTCTTCACCCATTAAGAAATGATAAGGTGTTATGTTGCTAGGATCTGGTAAAAATAGGTCTTTCTGACAGAAAAAGAATCCGTGTGAGGTTTTTGTGTTTGTTTGTTTGTTTGTTTGTTTACCTAAAACTTTACAAGTTGTGGTCACAGTCCAGTCCAGTTTATAACTAACCTGAGCAGGCATTCAGTCACAGAGGGTGGGACCCTTCATAGTCTCAGGAACCCACTGGGGAATTCAAAACACACCTGCATGACATAGGGGATAATAACTGTAATTCAAAGGAAGCCAGAAGGATAGAGAAACAATCTCGTACTTCATATTCCATGAAAGCAGCATGGGTAGGCATGAAGTAGTGCTTCCGTGGTTACAAGTGGAAAAGAGACAGAGAGAGCTTGAATTTTGAGTCTGTCACAGAACCCAAAGGCTGGATGCAGCTTCCCATGGCTTAACATGGGTTAAGAATTTGCCAAGAGCCATATAGAATAGAATTAAGAGACCAGAATCAACCATCCAGACTCTGTGTCTAAAGAGTACCCTACTGTAGTTCATTGGTTGATTTTTGGCTCCACTTCTGTCTTGTTTTCCTACTCATAAAGCGGGAAGATTGGTTAATACTTTGTAGTGTTATAAGGACTAGACAATTCACAGAACTGCTCTGCAGTCCAGAAGGAATAAGTGAGACACAGATGTATCCCCTGGGAGAGCCGGCCCAAGGGATGGATTCCAAAGCAATTGATGGGATCACCACCTCAGCTCAGAGGGAAAGGGAGAGAGGCCAGAGTAGCCTTGGAAGACTCTAGAAAAGCCTAGAAGAAGCCATCATCTAGAATGTTCACCCCAGAGGAAAGAGTATGTGGCTTTAAATGTTTAGGAACTGATCTAGAGTCTTGGAGATCCGGTAGATCTTTCTGGAGGGACAGGCAAGCTAGCTCCTTGACCTGATGCTGCCAACTTTAACCAGCCTGCATTTGGATGGGTATGACTTGAGGTGGATAAGTGTTCTCACACCAGGGATATTGGTGCTGGACAACACTGAATGTGGCTCCTCCCTCATCAGCACATCTGTCCTAGCTAGTCAACTTGACACAAGCTAGAGTTATCTAAAAGGGGGGACCTTTAATTGAGAAAATGCCTCCATAAGATCCAGCTGTAAGGTATTTTCTTAATTAACAATTGATGGAGGAGGTCCCGCCCATTGTGGGTGGTGCCATCCCTGGGCTGGTGGCCCTGTGTGCTATAAGAAAGAAAGCTGAGCAAGCCATGATTGATGAACAAGCCAATAAGTAGCACCATTGCATGGCTTCTGCATCAGCTTCCGCCTCCAGGTTTCTGCTCTGAGTTTCTGTCCTGACTTCCTTTGATGATGAACAGTGATACAGAAGTGTAAGCTGAATAAACGCTTTCCTCCCCAACTTGCATTGACCAATAATGACTGTCTGACAACATCCCTTGTCATCTTTCTGACAGGTGACTTCTGGGTCTGAGGACGAAAGTTGAAGATGAAGGAAGATTGCTCGTCCAGCTCTCGTGTGCCCGTCAGCGACAGCAAGTTCATTCTGAAGTAGGTTTGAGTGTGCAGTGTCAGGGTGGAGGGGAGCTCTGAAACCTCCTGTGGCCTCCCCAGGATGTGGCACTGTGCCCTGGGGACAGTGGTCGGTCCTTTCTTTGTGGGACTGCCCTTCTTTGGATATCAGGTATTCTTTGAAATATCAGTTTGCTCAAGAAGAAGGGGGTGGGGGGTGAGGGGGAACCATGGCGCTCTACAGTGACAGTATTTAATTGTTGACAGACTAGAATTATATGAAAACTCTTATTGTTTAAAACAGTTTAAAAATCCTGTTGTGGATTTTCATTTTTAAAAAGTGTACTTTATTGATATATTTTAACTTGGCTTATTTTTATTTACTCTGTCTCATAAGAACTACTTGGAATATTTTCTCTGAACTAAAGAGAAATGTATTTTTATCATATTCATTTATTCATGTGTGTTTGTGTGTGTGTGTGTGTGTGTGTGTGTGTGTGTGTGTGTGTGTTGGGTGCCAGCCACAGCAACTATATGGAGGTCAAAAACAACCTCCAGGAATCATCCACCATGTGGTCATGTGGTCTCAGGAGTCGAACCCAGATCACCAGGCATGGCAGTGAGTACCTTTATCTGCCATCTTGCCAGCCTGAGAAGCATTTGTTTTTAAGTTTTTATTTCATTTTATTTTGCATTTTGAGTCCTGAGTATGAATACTCTCTAAAATTGGACATGATTAACTTCACATACCTGTGCATTTCCCAATACTTTTGTGTGCAGTCTTTGCACATTTGTGGCATGGGACACACCCAGCATGGAATCCTCACATACGATGCTGCTTGGTTACACCGGTTACCCCTGTTGGTTCCCCATCTCCACATCATACACAGGACACACCTGCCCCAAGCCCCAGGATGTCATTGTCCTGTGCTGTGAGTGGGCTTGGGGAGGCTGCTGGGGAAGTGATAGAGCAGCAGAATCCAGCCAGGGACCATGGCTGAAAGTCAGAGCACATTCTGGTTAACACGTGCTTCACACAACAGTGTACCAGCTCCCACTGATTCCATGGTGATAGGCGAGCATCCTAGATGCTCAGTTCAGTAAGCATACCTGCTAGTTTTACCTGCCCGCTTCCCCTTTTCAACCTGCTGGGAGGCTGAAAAATCACCTGCACGTTTCATACCCCATAACCCCCTAGCCTAGACCCACGGTTGTGCTGATTTTCCTTGTCCTGGCCATCCCTCGGGCACAATCGCTTCCCAATGTGCTGGGAGAAAGTGTTTGAGCAGAGTGGCCTGCTTGGGCCCTGTGTATCCCAGGACTGACCTCTGGACAGTCAAGACAGGGAGCCAGCTGATAATCCAAGCCACTGAGATCTCTTGAGGCAGCGGGTCACAGGAGAGCACAGGGAGACTGTTAGGACTGCTCATAGACAGTAGTGAACATGCACACATGCCCTGTAATGAACATGCTTACATGCCCT